CAAACTTTATCTAAGTTATTTACAATCTATAAACAAATAAACATGTACTGTATGATATTACTGTAAAGGTATATGAATTTGCTCTACTTTGCAGACCTCCACCAACATTTAATTAGCTCAGCAATTGTGATGGATCTCAAATCGCGACGGCAGAGCAGCCTTCCCTCAGAAACTACAGACCTGGTGTAAATTATAAAGAATGTCATAATATTATAGTGGGAGTACTATTACTATTATACTCGTACAGATAAATGTAATATAACTGTCCATACTGCAACCAAATTATGCTCTTCATAGATCAAAACTTTTAGCTATGATTTCGTTTATTTATGTTGAATTAAACAAAACGTATCAACTTTCCGGACAGTCTGAAACAACATATTTATTATCGATATTTATTGATTTTTTTGCATCATATAGTTTCTTTTTATTCTAATGTGCATTTACTGCTAAAGGCAGCTAGTTAAAAAGAGAAAAAGAAAAGAAACCCCAGTATCATTGTACATTACTGCTTCCCAATCTGCATGGAGATATCCCAGTACTGGCTCGTGGGCTTGTAACAGGCCGCTGCTGTAAATAAAGATTTGTTCTCGTTGAGTCGCCTGGCACAGACGGGGTTAAAACAGCTTGTCTGGCATCGGCGAGGTGCGATATCTAAAGTGATACAGATGACAAACAGGCACTCTGTACCAGCTCTGTGGCTCAGAAACAAAATGCTGCTATTGGCCTGCCCTGTGGAGAGTGATGCAACACAGCATGCGACTGGCAATATTAAGAGAGCTTACATAGTTTTGAATGTTTATTTTATGTTTTTAGCAGATTATGTTCGAAAAGTGAATGTTATCGAGCCGAAAGAAACGTGATTTGGGTTCACAATTCATCGCCTGCTTCGACTGCAGCATCCGCCGTCTTCGCCTCGCATTATGACAGATGTGTGTGGATGTGCGGCCACTGCAGCTGCGACGGGCTACGCTAGCACCTGCTGTCCGTGCGTTTGATAGAAATGAATGGAAACCTAGCTAGTTAGAGGTAAAGCGGCCAGTCATTAAAACACACAAGAGGGATACTTCACTGCCCCACAGAAGACTGCTAGTTTAAAATAACCCTCTAAAAACCAATGCGACCGGTGTAGTGTGTGTTAGCACAAGTTAACAGGCAAGGTTGGCCTGTAAAGGGCCCATTACCACTGTAGGGCCACCCTCCTCCCTCAGCTCTGTGAGCCTGACTGTGTGCAACCATAGACAGCCTTAGGTTATGTGTCATAATAACGTAATATGAAATGAGTGTTACCCTGGCATGTCTTCAGTTGCCTAAAAAGAGCATAAAAAGGTGGTTACTCAGCACCACATGAAAGCTGAGCCACATAACAGAGATCCAGCATGGCTGCCTCTTTTCCCAGTGAGCTGTCACTGTAAAGGAGCAGCTTTCGAGTCAGGTCAGCTGCCTGCCGGGGTGTGAAGTATACGTTTCCTGGCTTTGCTCTGAGGGGGCACTGCTGCGAGCAGTAAGGGAGGTGCCAATGCTGAGATGTGTTTTTGAACAGCTACTGTCACACCACATGTTTCTTTGTGTGTGTGTGTGTGTGTGCATGTGTGGTTTCGACTCTAAACGTGGTTCACGGTTTGTTTTGTCTGCTTGTTGCTATGTATAGCAACAAAGCAGCCCGTGTAACAGTTTTGTTGCAGTTGTGCCCCCACCTCCTCTCCTCCCGAGTCATCATGGGAAACATCTTTGGGAACCTGTTGAAGAGCCTGATAGGCAAGAAGGAGATGAGGATTCTCATGGTGGGGCTGGACGCTGCAGGGAAAACCACCATCCTGTACAAGTTGAAGCTGGG